CGTCAATCATCCCATTCCATAGTAAATTGATGGAGGCTGATGTGAGGCAGGCCACGACCGCTCGCACAAGCTTCTTAAAAAAGCCCGCTAGATATAAGGTTTCTTCAATATAGTCCCATCGTAAATAATCATAAGGCTTCTCAAGATCCACTTTAAAGACCATGAACCCCTTCGCCCCTCGTTTCCTATCCTATACATCGAGTGAATTAGTTGGGCGACAATGATATTGTCCGTAATCTGACGGCCCGGGACAAAATTGGCTTGTGCCGGATGAATCAAGACGGGTAAGGTGCTCTTTAATCTATTCGTGAGCACCTTCGTGAAAATTTTATAAATCACATTCAACAAGCTAATCGGATGAAATTTTTGGATAATTCTCGATCTTCGGAATTAACACCAGCAATGTTTGATTCAATTGGCGAGGAACCATCCCTTGTTGCCACATTTCTTGAAGAAACCTTATAACTGACAGGCTAACGGTGGCCCAGTGCTGCTGAAAGAAAAGAGCATGTAGCCCGTCCCTCCCTAGCGCTTTGAGAGGTTCCATAAAATGCAAAACCGATGTAATCTCGACATCCGTGATATCCTTCCCCAGCCCGCTCATTACGCTGGTATCTCAAGTAGGAAACATATTTATCGGGCTCTCGCGCGAAACCGGGCTTTGCAAACCTTTGAACCTATGGAAGCTGGTCTTATTCACAAAATTTCCTTACACCCTCCAAAGAAACAATGATAAATTATTTTGGCACTGAAGCTCTAAAGGCATTTTCTCTGTGAAAAAAGCTTACAAGACCACCATGGGAGATCCTTCCAGAAACAAAGGGGTAGAGAGTACTAGTCATGATACCTCTTTAATAAAAAAGATGTGGACGAAAATTTGGCATCTGCCTATCAAGCCCAAAGTATAAACTTTTCTCTTGAGATGTTGGTTTGAACATCTCAGTGTTAAGTCAAAGTTGTTGGAGAAGTGAATGAACCAGGACTCTACTTGCCAATATGTGGGTAAGCTAAAGAAGATATCAACCATGTTCTATTTCATTGTGAAAATGCTAAAACCGTGCTGGAAAATCAGTGGGATTCAATGGAATATGCTTGATGAAGAAAACACTTGGTTTAAAAAATGGTGGTTGGATGTGTGTTCTGCTAGCAAAGTTAAGGTGATGAATGACAGACTAAGATTCTCAGCAATTATGATCTAGGGCCTTTAGAAAGCTAGAACAAATGGTTGTTCAAAGGGGATTGGATATATGAAAGAGTGGTAGTGGAAGAGGGTAGAGCCGAATGGTTGAAGTGGCATGCCAGTAAAGAGGATTCTCTGTGTCAAGATTCCAAGAATGTTGGAACTATCATATCTCATTCAGATAAGTTTTCCAATAAGTAGGTAAGCCTTTATTGGCTGCTAGTGCTTAATTTTCTGATGAGGGTAATTGGCTTCTGAACTGTTTGGTGAAAGTTGAAGGAAGGAACTCTGAAAACTGACAGAAGTCTTCTCAAGGGGCTGCTAACCAGATGGAATCGCATTGCTATTAGCAATTAGATGGGAGTTTGAGAAGAGCTTATGAGCTTCATTTGCAAAATTTATTATGTTCCATTGCTAATGCTGACATTGTGAACCTACTTAATATAAGCTTGGGTATTTGAGAGTGTTATTTTCCTTTGGTTAGTGAGATCTGTTCCCTTTTGGATATTTGTTTTGTTTGTTGTTAATTTACATGATTAGTGTTTGTTGTTTTGATTGGGGCTTGTTTGCATTTCCAGGGTTTGGTTTTATCCTTCTCTATTCCCTCAGACTCTAGCGTGTGGAGTTCTGAGGGTTGTAGTCGTTTGACTTCCGGTGTAATCTTTGAGCTTATTGAATAAAATTATAAAATATATTTGTGCATGTTAATTTATTTTTCTAATTATCAAATATTATAAATTTGAAATACCAACAACTTTAATATATGAGAGACGACTCAACAAATATTATCTAGTAGCAATACGATAAAGTTTGGATTAAAAAAAAATTATAAAATTGTCGATAATAGTTGTTCTAGACATTCAAAATATTTCTTATAAATTAGTACGTAACTCGTGCAATGCACAAGGAGATAATATTATGATTGTATAATAAATTAAATATATAAGTAAAATTAATCATGATTTACCCATTGTTTTCAAGATCGGACCAGACCTTTAATAGTCGACTGGATGGACAAGAAACAATTTATTGATCGGTCCAGATTGCGTGAATCTTGCTAGCAAACTGGACAACACCAGTAGGTCAAACTAGTAGAACTAGTACAATTTTAAAAATAATTTTTCATTTTAAAATAATTATCAATATGAAAAAAACACATACTTAAAAATAATATAGATTTATAAATTTTTTATTAGTGAGTTTAAACATTTGAAAAGTTTTAGATATTTAATTAATATTTTTATATAAATTTATTCCAAAAAGTACTATATAAATGTTGTAATACAAGATCATTTTGTTTCCATATATATTAGTAATAAATATTTATAAATCATTGAAAATTTGTCATAAAAACATTCTTATATAATATGATTATTTAGAGCTTAGACTACATTGCATTTATCATTATAAAGTATTTTTAATATTGAATTATATTTAGTTTCAATAATTAATTTGGTTTGGCCAAACTGACCCATACCTTAGTCACTCGCGATCAACTCAGATGTGTCATATTTTTTGTACTATTTTAAATATCACCTAAAAGTAATTTAATCAACTTAGACAGTAACACTAAATTCAATCACCCCATTGATCAATTAATTTTGTTTATTTTACTTAAATATATTTAATTTTATGAAAAATAAAAAATATTTTACGATTTATGTAGTAAATGTCTATAACAAATGAATATATATATTAAGATTATATATTATATATCTAAAGATAAATCTATTGTTTCTTAACGCATATTTATACAAAATAAATATTATATTTTTAAAAAAGTTTAGATTAATTGGTTGACTATGCAACATGAGTAAATACCAATAAATATATATATATTTTTTAGGAAAACTTTAATTTAATATATTAAATAAATATCAAACTTTATATACAATATAGATTATTAATATAGGAAAAGGGTTATATGGCGGTGGCCAGGCCCACAGCGGGTACGCGCTTTCCTCTGGTTAGCGGCTCGTCACAGCCTGCTGACAAACGAAACGCGTGTGAGGCGGCATATGGCGCCGAGTTCCGTGTGCCCGATCTGCTCATCGGAGGTTGAGACCACTATGCACGTTTTGCGCGACTGCGCTCCGACGAAGGCAACTTGGCAGCGGCTTGTCCCGAGGGCACGATGGACAGAGTTTCTGGCATTGAATTTTCGGGCGTGGTTTTCATTTAAGCTGACGGGTAGCTTCCAGCCGGAGGTAGAGGAGTGGCCAATAATGTTTGGTCTGAC